TAGCCAAAACGGGTAGATCGGAAACTTCTTATCTCTTGCGACGGTGTATCTGAGGAGAGTTTTGATTGGGCAAGTTTGATCGCCAGGCCTGTTAACGATGGCTACAGGGGTACCCTTGAATTGAGGGTCTCCCTTGTGATAGGGAAGATTATAGCACGCTACTGAACCACATAAGGAAATGACAAGTGATGATCTACAGATGCATTTCCTGTCGTTTTGTAAATTCAAGGTGTCTGGGATGGTGAGTTCTCCTAACCGGTGCAATCCGGCGAATCCTAACGCTAAGATGGTGTTGAATAGACTATCGTCGAACGTAGTGTTGAAATAACTTGCTGCGATGGAGATATCGTAGATGGTGAAGGCGTTGGCTCGGATGGTAGGTTTAGAGAAAAGTTTTTGGCAACCTCTAAGCGATTCTTTGACCTTGGTCGATTGCCGGGTTATAAGGACTATTGGAAATTGATCTCGCATGTTGTATGAGATGCCAGTTAGATACTTTCCTACTGTGTCGGGAGTTACTTCTCGGGATATGACTGTGATGAAATGACAGAGGTTGGTTTCGCTGGGGTATAGACGGACGTGATGTTCTTTGCAGAACTTGACAAAGCGTCGGTATCCAGATGAGTATTTTGAGACAGTTGATTTTTCTAACCGGTTTTTGATATCTGATTGATTCAAAGTTTCTCGTTCTTTGAAGGAGAGGGGAGCTGAGACAGACTTCTTAATTCTGGCCATAGTGATAGATAGGAAGCGTTTTTATAAAATGATTGTCCGTTTTAGGGACGGAAGGGAGCGTTCTTGATATCCTCCGATGAGGGTTGAGGGATCAGGAGAGAAGGTTCTGAGGTGTAGTCTGGGAACCATGGACCGAGCTAGATCGAAAAGGCCTTTTGATAGTGCGTCAGCTACTTGGTTGTGTTGCCTGGGGACGAACCTGACCTTCACGTCTATCGGGTGTGATAGCATAAGGTCTACTGCATACTTGAATAGAGCTCTGGCTGCTGCAGTTGGACGGTGGGACGAGAAAAGGTACGAGACTGATTCCGAGTCTGTAAAGATCACCACTTTCGACGCTTTGAAGTCAACCGCCATCTTGATTGCTGATACGACGGCCAACAGTTCAGCCCAGTAGCTGTTCCGGGACGGAGGAGGTAAGGTACAGCTCCAGGCGCAGCCGTTGGACGGTTGCCAGAAACCGAAACCGGTGGGACAGGCATCAGTAAAAAACATGCAGTCCGCGTCTGTTAAGGTCCAATGGAGGTGTTTGAAAACTCTACGACCTGGCCATGCTTCTAAAGCGTTTGCTAACCAGTTCAGGTCTTCTACGTTTAACCGATTTAGGGGGATATGTGCATTTCTAATTGTTTTACCTGCGATTTTATCCCAGGACGACTGCAAAGCCCATCTACCGAGAGGAAAGATGTTTAGGCCCCAGTTGGCCCATCCAGTTATACGTTGCCATTCAATGAGGGGGTGAGATAAAACTGAGGTAAAGGTTCGGAGTGCTATGATGAGAGATATCCGTTTGCCTTCCGGAAGAGAGATGGATATCTCTTCACAATCAATTGAATAACCGATAATGTCGAGTTGGCTTCCAAAAATCTGCTTCTCCCAAGCCCAGGGGAGGTTGATGAAATCGAAGATAGATAAGAATTTAGCTTGATTTAAAGGAATCTTACGACCTTTCAACAACACCATATCAGAGGATAGCCCGATTCCCCAGGAATCGTCCATATATGCGTTTAAATCCGTGATGTTGAATTCATAATAAGCAATCCAGAGGACTAGTGAGAAAAACGCACACCACAACTTCGGGGAACTTGAACACCCAAAGTTAACGTTCCTGTCTGCGTGAAAAGCGTTTTTGATTTTGATTATTTGACGAAACTGCCATTGTCTTGAGACTGGAAGATTACGAAAAGCAGCATCTACGTCAGATTTCCAAAGAATAAATTTGTTTTTACCAAAGTAGTGGTAGAGGATGTAGGGGATGAAGTAAGGTATGCCATCTAAGTCAATAGCGATATCCTCTTTTTTTATTAAGTCATTGGGGGAAGGATTGCCGAAAGACATATTCGTGCACATCCTGACTTTCCCAGATGATGGATTGGTAGCTAAGCATAAGGGGGATACTTCCATACCGGGAAGTAGGGTGTAAAAGGGTGGGGAAAATCGATTTAATTCCATTTCCTTGTCTCTGGTTTTTGTAAGAACCTCTTCTGCTTCTGGTCCTGAAGCATGATTCTCGTTGAAGACAGTTTTAGAAGAGGGCATTTCAGAGATAGGCCAAAAACCATCCGTGAGACCTAAAATAATAGAATCCACGAAAGGTTTATTGGGGTGGTTTTTTAAGAGTGTTTTTAAATTTTTTACATTAATAGAACAATTTATTTGAAAGAGATCCGGCCGTCTTTCAATAGCATACGCTGCCTGAGGGTCCGAGGAGAGGGGAGGGGCTGATGGAAGAGGGTTGGCATGAATAGATGATTGAACAGCAGCTGAATAACCTTTGTCGAGCACATCTATTTCCAAGCCTCGTAGGAAAGTTCGAGCATTAGGCTTGTCGGTGAGCGACACTTCCTTGATGATCCTCAAAACATCCATCTTTGTTGCATACCCCGTGAACTCGGTCGCAGTCAGCGGCGCTGAAGGGGCACACACGTGCATTCCAGTTGTTACAAGGCTGATCAGCCACAGGTACTGAATCAGAATCCTTAACTTTATATTTCGGTTTGACGCGCCTTCCTTTCGGTTTTTTCTCGGCGGGACGATAATCTGACTGTCGAGACGAGGCTGCAGCGTCGGTGGAACGCTTAGTAGCACGAGCAGTAGAGGGAGACGCGGATTGGACAGATTGGTATCGAGCTGTGGGAATAGCAGCTTTTCCAAGCTTGCTCGAAGAGCTGTAAAGAATCCGATTATCGATACCCTTGAGAGATTTGTGTTTGTAATCTCCCCAGACCAAACTGGGACGTGAGGCAAACTCTTTCCGTAGTTCGGCGTCGAAATCCCAAACATCTTCCCAATGGACTCTGGCTTGAAATAATCCTGGGAGAGAAAGAATATATTCGAAATAACTTTTGATGGAAAGGGCTGCTGGAGGGAAAGCTGCGATGTAAGCGTGTTTAAGAACAGCCAGGAGATTCTGCCAATGATTATTGTCAGAAATTTCCTTAGGCGCAGAGCCTTCAACATTTTTAAGATCACCGTCTGCATTGATGCAAAGGCGGCTTTGAGGAGGGTCTGAGGACGCAACTGCACCATAGAACTTTCTAAGATCGACAAAGTTATATTCGAGCAAATCTTTCGTGAGGGAGTTCTGCCAGTTTGCTGGCCTATTTTTGCATGAGTTAAACGCACTGACATGGTGTTTAATGTCTGACTTGTATAATAGGGCAATTTGATTGACTTGAAAGGAGATAGGCGAGAACTCCTCAGGAACCAGATGCTCGTTGTCGTCCATGTACGGCGCGGAAGAAATAACGCTTGTAAAGGGACCAGCAGGAGCTGGGATTCCAGAAAAAGCTGGTGCTCCAGAGGCAGCTGGTGCTGTATTGTGAGAAAGAATGCCTGACTGGACAGGTTCTCCAGAGACAGCTGGTGCTGTAAAACGAGGATGTACGGACGAAACGTCCGAGGACAGGGAATGACTTCGACGTCTTTTGCCTTTATCGATTCTTTCGAAAATTGGTAAAGTAGCCGAGGGAGCCTGGCGTAAGGTTTGGCGATGAGGGGGACCTTGCGTACGAAGCACAGCTGGAGGCTGAGCTGACGGACGAAAGGAACTTTGACGTAACCGAGGACTCTTAGAGAAGGTAATCCTGTTGAGTAAGGAAGGCCCCTGAATAGGGGCTTGAACCGGAGGTGGAGGACTCGGGGTACGAATACCCACCGAATATATGTCTGAGATGAGAGGAGGCGGAGGTGGAGGAGGCCCAGCAGTGTTGGTAACCGGATTCGAAGGAAACATAGACAGATCCTCGAACCGCGGAGGCGATTTTGGAACAGGCCTTTCCAAAAAACCGTCGACCACTCCGTATATGTCGATAGTGGAAGGAGGTTCGAGTAAGCCACTAAGGACAATAGGAGGGATGGATTGGGGATCTGGGTTTTCAGGCCATTGATACGATAAGGGAAAAACAGGCCTGCCGGCCCTACGGTCGAGTTCAATGGCAACTCGAGCGACAGCAGAGAAGTGAAATAAGAAGTTTTCGTCTTCGTAATGATAGACGGACGCAATCTGTGTACGGAGTTGAGCCATCGAGGTGTTTTTACTCCCACCGGAGTCATCGTAGTGGGTAAGGATCTTATCGATGTCATCGAAAATAGCGGTTGTCTCATTCGCTTGCATGACATAGTCATCACCTAGATCAGTGATCATAATAAACTTAGAAAAAAGTTTTTTATATATAGAAAAAAAAATTTTTTATCGCTGATAAAATTCTTGGACGAAAAAAGTATCAATCAGGATAATGAAGTTGGATGATTAGGAATAAATTATTAGATTATAATTTCTCGACTGGGGACATTGGGAATTAGGGAATGAGATCTTCCTAGACATCCAATTCTTCAGTGACAACATTTTGGTAAACTACTATAAGATGAGAGAAGTATAAAAATGCCGTCTGTGAAGAGTGGACGTGATTGAGTGATCCGGATACTTCATTACCCGATCCTTTTTTCCCGTCCCATTCCCATTCTTCAATACCTTGTACCGACTACTAGATATGACCAGGGATGTGAGGATGCGAGGATGCACTAATAGGCCTGAATTCCACGAAATGTTAGTCCTGATTTCCGCGTAACTGACTATCTTCATAACCGACGCAATCAATCATCATACAATAAATGAAAAGTTGTAAGACAAACAAAACTAATGAGACTTTCAATCCAAATCTTTTTTTTACTGCACATTATATTATGATTTTTTAATATTCAAACCCCAAACTCGAGTCCTCTTTGAACTGCACATATATTTACAACACTCAAACTACTCATTTATGGTCTTACCAGGCGAGGAGGTTGGGCCCGAACCAAAGCGGAAAAGGAGAGAAAATGTCACTTCAAACTCGTCCATCGGCGCCAGGCTTGCCAATATGGAAGCTCTTGAAGAAGCGGATGCCAAAAACTTAGAGGCTCAGAGGGCTCGTCAGAACGCACCGGTTCCAGTGTTGCCCCCAATCAATCAAGCCGACTCAGATGAAGAGCCTGCACAACTGTATGATGCGTTCATGCCAGCTGATGTTCTACAAGATTTGGCTCAAGATGCGAACGCAGATCATCAAGTTATCAATTGAGCCAATTACTTTCGTAGTGTTACATACCAAGAACGTGCGCTCACGGAGGAACAAAACTGGAAAGAGGTGATACCGGCGATTTTCATTGCTTTCATGCCATGTAGCAGAACAACATTCCAATGGGCAGACCCGGTTCTGTGGAGCCGTGACATGAATCAGCGGTGCAATTGTGCACGTTGGCAAAGGTCGACCGTCACCGTGGATACAATTGATTGGTCCGGTGTGTTATCTACAGCATGTGGAATGTGTTTTATTTGTTAATCGCATGCTCATACTCAACTTTTTCTTTGAATTTTGTATGTATGTTAAAATAGGACGTGCTAAGACTCCACTTGAAACTTGCCGGTGCACTCCGGATGTGGTTAGGCTTCTACGTCAAGGTTACATAGGAGGAACGCCTGTAAACCCCAGGACCGCATATTCAATTCGATTGCTGCGATTCCATCATATATTGTGGAAGCACTGTAGCATCCGTATTGCACCTTTTGTCGAGGCAATCGAGGAGTATCTGGATCCTCGAAGTGCACTTCTCTTGGTTGCAGGAAGCGATCAGGTAAGTAGGTTATTTGTAACAAACAAATTGGAATAAACAAACACCAATTAGTATGATTCCTCTGTCTGATGTATCCAACAGACTCGTGACTGGCGAAAAGGCTTTTCAGCCGCCGTGGATGTTTTCAGAGAGATGCTGCGACTAGAGAGCATTCGCGCATCCACGGAAAAAAGAGCCGGCTCGAGAGTCCGGGCCGTAGTAGCGCAGCAATCCCCTTTGATAAATTATATAATTCCAAAGTGGCGTAATATGGAATACGGGACTTCTCACAAACCGCAACACCCAGAATTAATTCACCTCCGGACTTCCTATACAGCTATCTAGAGCAGTGTACGAAGTGACCCTGTACCACTGCTCTAGACAGTGAAGAGGTCTATCGCCGATTATCGCCACTATCGCCGCTATCGCCGATTATTTGGCCTCAAAATCAACAAAAAACAACCAAGTCCCTCAATCGCACATACCCCCGGTACCGGCCATACGTCCGATTCGGGCTACTCGCCAGGTGACCCACCCCGACTTTGTCTACACCAAGGCTTGTGGCTTTCGATCAACTTTTGACTTGTTCCACTCAAAACTTCGAAGCGACCGATGGTTCTCAAGTTTAATCATATCAACCATCAACAACCAATCACATCCCTATCAAAAATCAACACTCAACAATTGAAGATCAATCCTTTCATTAGACCAACAAGTGTTTTCACCTCTGACCGGATTCAGAGCCCTGATAACCTTGGGACCTTTGAGTAAGACAACCGGATTTGTACCTCACTGGTCTGGCCGAACGAAGGATTGTGATATCAACTGTTCTGAACACCTCATCAACCTCATCTATCAACATCGAAAATCTATCCAAATACCGCCCTTTGCATCAAGATGCCCAGACTTCCCAGAGATCAAAAATTCTTCCCCAGTATAAAGCCAAAGCGACATCGAGACACCGAACCTGACCGTCATCATATCCCCCACGATCGAGCCGTTAATCTCCTGCAGAACCTCGGAATTGGACCAGCTCGACCAGTTGAACCACCAGCTGAACTGGATAGACACGATGAACACGAAGACGATTGGAACAATCAACCCGATGTCAACTATGACCCTCAAGATGACCCACCTGTCCCTACCCTTGATGGCGCGGCCGAACGACTAGCTGAGGCTGCAAGAGCGCAACACTATGCTCAAAAACGGCTCAACTTCGAAAAACAATGGGTTGCTCTTGCAGCTCCTGTCACCGCTGTATACCTTGAGCGTCAGCATGCAACCCAGAATTGGACAACTAGCATGTCATACCTAGCCAACCAGCCCGAATGCCGCTGTAATAACCAAACCACCCGGCTGATCGACCTCATTGACATGTATGGTAAGTGGTGACAGCTTTCATTTTTTATTCTTACACTTATCATCTATAATTCTGTTTTACTAGGTCGATTAAGCAGTTACCAATTCACGTTTTGCAAGTGTTGTCCAGATGTCATCCGCCTTCTCTATGCAGGATACTTCGCAAGCTCACCTTCCCAACCACACACAGCCTTCTCGATTCCTCTCATTCAATTCCATAACCGACTTTGGCAGACCTCGGCACTTTCAACAAGTTCCTTTATTGACGCTCTTGGAGGTTTCCTGGACGATCGATCAGCTTCACCCCTCTATGGCCAGCTTCGTAATGGAACAATTTGCAAGCGGGAACTTAGAAAACCTATAACCCATTCAATTGATCTTTACCGGCGAATATTATATCATCAAGAACTACTTTACATAGAAGGACTCGAGCTCAGTTTACTAGAAGTATATGCCGACAAGTGTTCTCGCTGCTTTGGACCCAGAGAAGGTGAAGTAAAAGTATCACCAGATGAACCTGATGTCATCATATGCGCCGATGGCAACTTTCAACACCGTCATTACTCTTATGCCAGCAAAGACAACCCAGCCGAGCACGAATATCCCTCATCCTTCCTTTTACCCTTGCAGATCACAAAGGTGGCCGACTTGTGTAAGAATACTGCTGCACTAGCCAGCGATATCAAGGTTTGTCGCTCACATGATTCCACAGATCTTGAATACTGCATCGGCTGATCTTTTGTTATCTACCTTGTCTCATTCTGCAGACTGCTTGCTCAGACTCTCACACAGCAGCAAATGACACCCGAAGCAGCGCCACCTGGAGGAAATCGTGTGATGATAATGGACTTTTTGCGTTTGCATGTCGACACGACCTCATGCTCAAGATGGCAAACCTCCATGAGGAATCTGAGAAGTGAGTAATTTATTTCCACCTCGAATTTTGATTTCCACATCTAACTCAGTCGATCTCAATGTGTAGATTGCATTATCCAGTCAGCATACTGGGATACTTTCTAGAACAACTCCCCAATATCAAGTTTGGCGTTCTCTACGACATTGGGTGTCACCTTGATGCACACATCAAGAAGGTAAGAATTTCTGCCACTTGATTGTTTATTTTGTTTCTTCCGATTTATCAACTCACCTTTTTTATTACTGAATCAGAGGGGTCTCTTACCCAATTTTCAGACTCGATTGATGTTTGGGACAGCTGTGTTCCATGCATACGTCCACGAATGGGCATGCCAAATAGTTTACAATCCTCGATACAACAAGTACTGGGGTCTATCCGACGGTGAAGGTCTGGAGCGACTGTGGTCGTTCCTATCAGCCCTAGTAGCAGTGCTTCGGACATCAACCCGGTTACATCGATTTTGGGCGTTACACTGGCGCTGCAACTTTTACAACGAGAATCTAAAATCAACCAGTGGTAAGTCTCTTCTTTTTTAGTTTCAAATCCCTCTTAGTACTAATTCTTTGGGAATGTTACAGGGAAATGGCTCCTCAGCAAGTTGAACAACGCCAACCAGGTCAAGAAGGAAGCAAGCGAAGGACTATTGAATCTGTACACGCAACGCAACCCCTACGATCCTGACCGACAGTTTTATTCAGCTGATTTTCTCAGGGAGCAATGGATATTGGAAAGGAACGCACAAGCCAGCAAGAAGCATGCAGAAGAGCAACAAAAACTTGAACTGGGACGATTGCTATGTCTAGAACAAGAGATTCAGAAGCTCTGGTATGCCGGTCTATAATCTATATAAGATACTGATGACTGATACTCACAATGATTGATTTAAAATTTGCAGGAATAGCCCTGTTCCTACTGCTGAGTATGAAATATCACGGGCACAAAGGTTGAATGAACTCCAGGAAAAAATCACGACACAGCGAAGAAAGGTTGGAGCAGCAGATGTGCTTGCATTGCTAACTAGTAAGTGTATATTTAAAATCAAATGACATGATAATTGTGACTGAAACTCGTTCTCAGGGCCTGAGCACGATGGCCTTCTAATGGTTTGGTACTGCATGCGAGATGTCCGATCTAGGTTGATTGCAATATTCAAGGAAAAGTTGCCCCTTAACCAATCTCAAGCTCATGGTCGAGATTCAAACTTAGGTAAGTACATGCTTCATCTCAAAATTATCCGTAGGAACAGTACTAACTAGAAATACAGGTGTTTCTGGCAGGACTGCTGTTCTTGCCTCAATACGAAAGCATGCTGCCGCTCTCGGCAAGGCCGTTGATCGCTACCAAGAACGCCTCAACACTTTTCGTCAAAAATTCCCTAATCGCCTTGCGTATCCTCCTGATATTGAGTACGCAACGCTGTTCCAGATTGCGCCGGATGATCCTTTTTGGAGTGAAGGTCTCTTCACCAATCACAATGAACCATGGGCAATCGATCCCTCGACTCAATACGGAATGCGACAGCTTTCTTACCTTGAACGATCCGAAGAGGAACTGCGTAGAATTGGGTGGGAAGTACGACGTGAAATGCGATGGATCATCAACACTCGTACCCGAATCTCTCATCTTCTTCAATGTCTTCTCCATGGTATGTTGGAGCCCGGCTTACCTGACGTCGAAGCCATTCAACCCCTTCTCAACCATCCCACCCTAAGTCATATTGACCCTCAGTCTCGCAAAATTTCGGCAATAAATCTCCTTCACACTCGATTGATACGACTTTTGCACCATATGCGGAAGTCATCTAACAAATTTCAACAGGTGTTTCGAGGTACAGTAGCTCAAGCTGGTGATAATGGTCTTTCACAGGATTGGGGAGGACTTGGTAGGTTTGTGTCAAGTATTGGTGAACAAGGAATGTCGATGATTCCTGGATGTCTCTCATTGGCAGACAGATTGTGGCCAGTAGAACAACCAATAGAACAACGAGTAGAACTACCAGTAGACCAACCAGTAGCAGAAGATAGGAATGTTGTTGGAAATGAAGTCAATTTGGTTATTATTGAGGACGAAGAGGAAGATAAGGATGCAGATGAAGAGGAAGAGATTGTCAAACAAACAGTATTGAGTGCAACTGAGAAAGCAGTGTCTTCAGCACTTGATAGGTTAGCATTGTATGATGATATGGAAGATGTTGAGTATTAAAAAATGTACTTAGTTATTCTCTATTCAAAAACCTTGAGATATTTGTATGACATGCCTGAATGAGAATCAATTGAAGTGTTCAATAAGAATCCATTGAAGTGAAACAGAATCTCATGTAGACTTTTATGCTTGATTCAGAATGCATCAATGTTAAAAAAACCCATGAAAAACTCATGACATGAAAATGTATAGTGTTCTAAAATTGATAGTTTCATTGGTTTATGCATTACAGTTGCTTTAACCTGGCTTCTTGGAAGTTGCAGTAGAAGAAGATGTTACAATGAATCATGTTTAATCTTTTGAACAGTGGGAGACACCAATAAACAACCAAGTTTATTGGTGAAAATGGACCTGAGGTGCAGGAGCGGTGCGGGAGTCGTGATTGGTGAAGTGTTATGTGGATATATTGATCCATGTACACGTGATTAGTGGTGTGTGGTGGTACCATCAGAAAGCCCTGACCTTGGCGGAGAGTTTGAGTCTACCACGGACCATTTTGGATGTAACTTGAAAAAGTTATTACAGATTGCATCCATGCGCGTCACTGAGGTGCGCGGGGAAGACATGAGGGGCTCTGGAGTTTTCCACACACATCATGAGTGTGATTGGGTTGTAAATTCAGAAAGCCCCAGCCAATGCGCAGAAATTGAGCCCTTACTGGAGTTTTTTTATTGAGAAATGAAAAAGTTATCAACATTTCCATAGTTGCAAGTCATCACGCAGAAATAGCACATCTGGAGCGACGGTTCACCCCTCTTTTTT